ACAATGTTTTTAAGGCAGGGCAGCGTAGGAGGTGTGCTCAGTCTCGATCTTTAATTGTGTATAACCTATCTCACTATGTTGAATATTGGATTTTACATATAAGAAAAATGAGTAGAGAGTGAGGAAAGAAGTGTGAGATACGTGGCAATGGAAATAAACCATGTGGCATGAATTTTGATGGATTAATAAGTACTCATATAATAATCGATTAACATTCATAAAAATTTATTTGGGAATATTTTTGGTTTTCATCAGAAAAAAATAGTCAACTTTTGTTTAAATATCAACTAAACGATCAACATTTAAGAATTTTAATGGATTGGTTACTTTTGCACCAATTTTAGTAACGTTATGAGTATTTTTACTCCTGGTCGACAACTTCATAGGCATTTTTGTCTCTTTATCAATCCACATTAGCAAAGGTTAACACGTGGCATGCACAATCAGTATTTAATAATCAAAGTTAATAATGCTATGTCAAAGTTAAAGGTTTGATTACCTTTTGCACCTACTCATATAGCGTTATGGATATTTTTATCTTTTTTTTTTACTTTAGGATATTGGGTGCCCTAACTGACCATTTTAGGGGTATATTTGCCCATTTATCCTTTTAAAAAATACCTTACATTTTTTAATAAATAAAGTATTATTATAATCTTTTAATTTGGCCCCCACCCTCCAAAAGCTCTCGTTCCGCCCGTTAATGGCTGTCTGTATGTCTGTATATATCCTCGCACCGCATATATATACAATATGCATATATGCATGCATGTGCGTCTGCATTTATATGCAAGTCTTTCATACACAAACTAGCATTCTGCATTCCTCACTACTTATATAAGCATTGTTCCGCCAATTCATTTTGTAAAGTTGAGCCAAGTTTTTTTTTTTAAAAAAAAAAAACGGTCCTTCAATACTTAGAATCAGATCGAATATGGCGTTTCTGAATGCCACCTTTTACTTGTACCTCCTGGCCTTCGTCACCTTCTTGTTCGTGTTCAAACTTACAAGACCAAGAAAAAGCAAACCTTATAATCTGCCTCCATCTCCACCAAAGTTGCCAATTATTGGCAATATTCACCAGTTAGGAACTCTTCCTCATCGTTCTTTCAGAGACCTGTCTCTGAAATACGGTCCTCTCTTGTGGTTGCAGCTCGGTCGAATTCCAGCTTTACTAGTCTCTTCTGCAGATTTGGCTAGAGAGGTGTTAAAGAATCAAGACGCAGTTTTTGCCAGCAGGTTCCAAAGCATATCTGCAAAAACCTTGCTATATGGATGTAAAGATATTGCCTATGCAACCTATGGTGAAAGCTGGAGACAGAAAAGGAAAATATGTGTGCTTGAGCTTCTCAGCCTCAAAAGGGTTCGATCCTTTCAGGTTATAAGAGATGAAGAAGTTGCAGAGATGGTTAACGGGATACGAAGAGCCTGTGCGAGTGATAATAATTGCTCTGTGAACATAAGTGACCTCATAACTGCGACCACCAACAACATAATATTCAGATGTATAATTGGACAGAAATATGATCCAGAAGAGAGCAGCGGAAGATTTGGGACTCTTGCGAGGAAGGAGATGATCCATCTGGCAGATTTGATAGTGGGAGATTTCTTTCCTTATTTGGGTTGGATCGATGTTCTGAGTGGGAAAATTCAAGAGCTGAGAGACACTTTCAAAGCCATAGATGGGTTCTTTGATCAGGTGACAGAAGATCATAAGAAGGTGATGAAGAAGGACGATGAAGAGAAAGATTTTGTGGATATTCTTCTTCAACTTAAAGACAGCGATATGCTTGAATTCGAGCCCACCAAAGATGACCTCAAAGCAATCATAACGGTCTCTTCGCAATCCCTCTCAAAATATATATTTTCGCCTAGTGTAGTTTTTGCTGCTGCTGCTTTTAATTTGGCTATTCTCTATCAAGTTTTAACGTCATGAAAAGATTAAATGATGAAAACTTATAAATTAAGCTCTGTCTCTCATTTTATCTTTTGATCATATATCTTATTATTAATTAGATATATATGATGCATTTGTCAGAAATTATTGAGAAACAGTAAAATGTTACCAGTTCAGTTTTGGTTTTTCTTTTTCTTTTTCACTCGAGTGGTAAAAACATAAAGTTTTGTTCCCCTCTATATATAGGATGAGCTGATTCTATTCCAATGAATTAATCAGAAAGCCAAATGCAGCTATGTTTGAGAGATAATTGTAAGATTTGATAATTAAAAGAGGGAAAAGTGAAAGAAAGGAAGAAAGAAAGAAGTTGATTTTTGTTGCATTTCCACGAGTTCAGGACATGTTTTTAGGAGGGAACGACACTACTTCAACGACGTTGGAGTGGATTTTATCAGAGCTTCGGAGACATCCAAAAATTATGAAGAAAGTCCAAGAAGAGGTCAGAAAAGTGGTGGGGTCCAAATCAAAAGTGGACGAAGCTGACATAAACGACATGAAGTACTTGAAATTTGTCATCAAAGAAACTCTCAGATTGCACCCACCAGCTCCTTTCATGGTCCCTCGAGAAACAATCCGCGATGGAAAATTAGGAGGATACGACATTCCTTCCAAAACTTTGATATTTGTGAACACATGGGCAATCCAAAGGGACCCTGAAATATGGGAAAAGCCTGAAGAGTTCATCCCGGAGAGATTTGAGAACACTCAGATAGATTTCAAAGGGAAAGACTTTGAGTTCATCCCATTCGGATCTGGAAAAAGAATATGTCCTGGCATGGCCTTTGGACTTGCTTCAGTTGAGTATGAATTGGCTAATCTTCTTTACTGGTTTGACTGGAAGCTGTCTCAGGATGGTGAGATTGATATGACTGAGACGTATGGGCTCACAGTGAAGAAGAAGGTCCCTCTTTTTCTTGAACTCATACCATACTCGGTCCAATCACAATCTGGTTAATTCATCTTCATGATTTTGTTTCATGCATATGTTTTCTGCTGTTTGGTCTGTGATAGTACTTGCTGTTAAAATGTGGAGCTGCTTATGAAGTTCAGTGGTATAGGAAGAATAAATGTGTGTGAATTTGCGGTTGTAGTGTGAAATTCTGTCTTAACTTCCTGGGAAAATACTACTATAGTGCTTGTTACTGATGTTTTTGTTATTGCTTTGAACTTGTGAGGTGAGACATAAACAGGAATCTCATCAAATAAGAGGGAGTATCATTCTAGAACTCTGAAATTAAATTTGATGGTTATCTTGAAAAAGCTCAAGCCAAATAACAGTTCGAGAAATGTTCTCTGTATATTTTGTCATCAAATAATTCAAGTTCCAAGTACATTAATTAGGGAAATTTAGGTAAATACATGCATAATAGCAACCCTCAAGAACAGTGTCACAGGACAAGGGGAGAAGAGGCACAGAAAAGGATGAACAAGTAAAGGCTACAGAGAGAAGAAAATATCCGAGGGAGGAAGAGAGAACTGTAAGGAGGAGGAGGAGGCCTAAGGATGAATATCAAAGGAAAAGACGTCACGGTTTTCTCCACACGCCCACACCTTGTGCCCAACTATATATACCCCTACCCAATGTTCTGCAATTAGCATCAAGCCCATTAACATGACTTGCCTCACTGGTCCAAGCCCACATTAAGATTAGGCCCATTAATATACAATGAATTAATTAACAAACAGGTAACCACCCTTTTGAGTTGTTATTATATTACTAATTTTGGATAAATCTTCTATCTCTTCTGTCCCATCTGATGAGAGAGGGAGGGAGGGTTGAAATTAATTTGAGGCCCAAAAGATGTTGGGCTTTTGTCATCCAGCCACGAACTATTTGAACAATAATTTATCATCAAGTTTTTAATCTCTTGTACGGACATTGTGACAGCCAATTAGTTGGCCTAAGTCTTGGCTAGTGATCAGTTTCTAAAGAAAGTTAAGTAATTAGAAAGCTTATCAATGTACTTACTAGGTTGTTATCTTATCATGTTGCTGTTTTTAATGATGTGTTGATCTTTGATTAATGAAGTATCCAGTTTTATTTTAAAAAAAATAGAAAATAGAATAGATAGATCTTGCGCTGAAGCCTGAAGCCTAAGATTATTTTTAGGTTCAAATTTATCTTCAGCCTCCAATACTATCCAGATCAAGCTCTAGTTAAGTTAAATTGAATGACCAGTAACCAATAAATATCTACATGTTACAGAATTTTCATAGATATAACATCAGTTTAATTTGTGGGAATGATCTTTCAGTCAAAGCAAAAATTAATTGGAAAGGTAATGTTTATAATCAAACAACTTGACGCATAAAATGTAAGCAATCAGATATACAACTTGGAATATAATATCATCAATAAATGAGAATCATCCATGATTATGATAGCTTCACAGATCACTACCACGTATAGCGCAACCGTAAGTCCATAATGGAAGTTTGACAGTTTGCATGACAAATCCTGAAACTTATAAATAAGTAAAGAATTAGTCTTAAGTGTATTTTGGCCTTTGGACTTGATTATTTTTGGTCCTTAAGACTTGTCTTAAAAATTAAGATTCTCGTTTTAAAATTAAATGAATTCATGGGTTCTCTCGTTTGTCATTAAAGTAAAATTACAGGAGTCAAACTCTATTGCGATGGGTTGAAATAATTGATCTAGGCGCTGTATCTTGTCAAAAAGATTATAATATAACTAGCGTACAAATTATAATATTAATTTCTTTCTTATTTTTAAGATTGCTGTATAATCGTTTGTATATACAGTAGTATTATATTATAGTCCATATGATTCTATTGTAAGCTACAGCTAATCACCTCATTAAAAATTCGGAGGTGATTAAATTATTAACTTTAATTATCTGAAAATAAAATAAAATTTAATTTTATTCAATTAAAATGAAAATTTTTTAAATTCACATTACATTCTTTCATAATTAATGATTTTAAATAAAAATAATATTAAAAAAATTTAAGTAATACATCATCAACTCATCAAGTGATTTAGAGTAAAATACATTGATATCTTCTTTTTTTTGATACAGTTATCCATTTGTTTTAACTTGATTGCATGTACATCTTTTTAATTTTAAAACTTATACGAAACTCATCACTAAAATTTAATTGTTATAAATTACACGCCTCCCTCATGGCCATGCCACATCCCCTGTGATTGCTTCGACCGTTCTATACTTTCTTGAAAAGCAGAAGGTTGCGAGCAGGGAAACCACAATGGCTCTACTATCACTTGTCAAACCCTACTTTCCCTTGGACCTAAACGGCCTGCTCTTACCTCTTTCGTGCTTCGTCATTACTGTCCTGTTTTTGGTCAATCTCAGAACTAGAACAGCAAGCAAATCCAAGTCGAATATGAATCAGCTTCCATTCCCGCCAAAACTACCCATCATCGGGAATCTTCATCAGATAGGTACCCTTCCGCACCACTCTTTTCGAACACTCTCCAATAAATACGGGCCTATAATGTTTTTACAGTTGGGTCATATTCCAACTGTGGTGGTTTCTTCTGCAGAATTGGCCCGCGAAATTATGAAAACCCATGACCTTGCCTTCGCGGATCGACCTCAAGGTATTTGCCCTAAGATCTTGCTCTATGGATGTGCTGACGTTGGCTTTGGGAACTACAGTGATATTTGGAGACAGAAGAAGAAAATCTGTGTTAACGAACTTCTTTGCCTGAGAAGCGTTCAATCATTCAAGAACGTCAGGGAAGAAGAATCTTGGGAGTTAGTGAATAAGATACGTGATATGCACTCGAGTGGTGCAGATTCTGTGAATCTGAGTGAGTTGCTGATTGCTACATCCAATGATATCGTATGTAAGTGTGTTCTTGGGGACAAGTATAACACGTTGGCGAATACAAGGATTGGAGAGCTAGCGAGGAAGGTGATGATTAACCTCATGGCCTTCAGCGTGGGAGATTATTTCCCTTCCTTTGGTTGGCTTGACTTTTTCACTGGTCTCATTCCGAGGTTAAAGGCCATTTTCAGAGAGTTAGATGATTTCTTTGAAAGTGTCATTGAAGAACACATGACCATGATGAAGAAGACAAGCGGTGTCCAATACACCAAAAGGAAAAGCTTGCTCGATATTCTCCTTCAACTCCATGACGATGGCAAGCTTGATAATAGTTTCTCCCAAAACGACCTCAAATCAATCCTCATGGTCTCTCTCTCTCTCTCTCTCTCTCTCTCTCTCTCTCTCTCGCTCGCTCGCTCGCTCGCTCGTTTTATTCTAATATAATAGTCGATGGGTTTGTATTAACAGAAGAAATGATTCATTGTGATGGATTAAAAATTCTTCATCTGGTTTAGGATATGTTCGTGGGAGGAAGCGACACAAGTTCAGCAACAATGGAGTGGGCCATGGTGGAGCTGGTGAAGAATCCAACGAAAATGCAGAAAGCAAAGGAAGAGGTGAGACGCGTGGTGGGTAACAAGTCACAGGTAGAAGAGCGAGACATAAGCCAAATGAATTACTTGAAATGTGTGGTCAAAGAAATTCTGAGATTGCATCTACCTACTCCCCTGCTGGCTCCTCGAGTAGCAAGATCAGATGTGAATCTCGGAGGGTGTACTATTCCAGCTAAAACAGTGGTGTACATCAATGCATGGGCAATTCATACAGATCCGGAGTTCTGGGAAAGACCTGAAGAGTTCGTTCCTGAGAGATTTGAGAAGATGGATGTTGAATTCAGAGGGCAAGACTTTCATTACATACCGTTTGGTTCAGGAAGGAGAGGGTGTCCTGGGATGATGTTTGGTGTTGCTGCTGTGGAATCCATGCTCGCTAATCTCTTGTTTTGGTTTGATTGGAAGCTTCCCGAAAATGGTGGAACTGTTCAACACATTGATATGAACGAGAGATTCGGCCTAACTGTTAGCAAAAAATTGCCACTCTATCTTCAACCGATACCCTACTCTCTTAAGTCTTGAAGTGTGATTCTCTTTTCTGAGTGTACTGTTAAACACTTGCTCTCAAGCTTAGCTTGCCCTTATTAATTAAAAAAATGGTGTAAAATATGTGTATGCCTGTCTGTATGTACGTATCGAGGTTGAAATTTGCGTACGGGAGACAATGATTTATTGATTTCTACTTGTACTGATTGTTGAATAAAAATTAAGTTGAATATTGGTTTGTGGTCGGGATCAGTGGTTGAGTTAGTGGACAAATAGTGTGTCATTCTCAGGTTGAATATATTTGACATACTATAATAGGATGAGATGTAATGTAACTGCTGGTTAATTGGTGCACGTACTGAGAACAACTTCAAATTTCCATACATTCTGAAGCCCGGCCTTATATATGCAAAAGCCTGGGGCTGGTTCATAAATCCGTTTTTATTATTTTTTTAATTTTTAATTTTTTAAAAATTAAAATTTTTAATTATAATATTTCATATTTTTTTAAAAATGTAAATTATAATTTTAAAAAAATTAAAATAAAAAATAAATAATTTTAATTTTAAAATATAAACATGTATTAAATTTATAAAAATTAAAAATATTTTATTTTTGGGTAAAATTAAAACGGGTTTAAAAGAACTGCTCTTTCTCGGAGGCCGGATTTCAAAGCCTAATAAATTTTAATTTATTTAAATTAATTTTTTATGAAATCGAATTTAGGCCTGACTCTCTATATTTACGACAACGTTATGGACGTTTTTATATCAAAATTGGACAACTGGTCATAATTATACCCACATCGCTATGAGAAGCAAGGCCTAGGCGTAGGTGGCTGATCATCAGTTCATAGTTTATATGAGAATGACAAGAGTTTAGAGAGAAAATGTTTAAGAATGAGCAAGTAATATTGGGATTAAACTTTAATTTGTTGGGTTATTTCATTCCCCACACACACACACATAGAGATAGATACATAAATAATATTGAAAAAATAATAATAATAAAATCTCATTAAAATATATAAATCACAATCAAGTCTATCAAAATATCATAATTTTTTTAAATTCTTTAGGTACCTATCTGATATTAATTATTTTATGTTAAATAACTAAATTGCCCCTTATATAAATAAAAATAAAGGATTTGTTTTTATTTTTTTAATCACAATTTTTATTTAAAAAAATATAACTTTTATTTTGTAAATCGTAAAAATTAAACAAAAAGTTATAATTTTTCACATGAAATTTTTTTTATGATTTATAAAAATATTTTAAATATAACCAATTTCAATCGTAACTTTTGTTTAAGTAATTATAATTTTGATTATGTGAATAAAAAAACTGAATAAAAAATTACTTTCCATGTGAAATTTCTTTTATTATTAAAGTTCAAATCCTAAAAATAACTAATCACGACTTTTGTTTAAATAATTATAACTTTTATTTTGTGAATTGCACCAATTGAATAAAAAATCATAATTTTTCACATGCAATTTCTTTTATTATTAGAATTCAAGTTTTGAAAATAGCCAATTATAACTTTTATTTAAACAAGTATAACTTTTATTTCGTGAATAATAAAAATTGAATAAGAAATTACTGCTCATGTGAACTCTTTTTTATTTTAAATAAAAGGTAATTGAATTATTTAATTTAAAATCATTAATGTCAAAAAAGTATCTAAGAATTTTTAAAGAATTATAGCATTTTGAGAGACCTCACTGTTATTTATATATTTTGGTAGAATTTTATTGTCATTTTTCTAGAAAAAAAATACACATAACCAATAAAAATCATAATAATTCCAATGAATGCACGTAAATCAGTCAGTCAATATAATACCCCATTCATGTTAAATGGGATAGCCGAGAACTATAATACAATGGTTGCAAATTTACCTACGCAATTAATTACAAAAAATAAATGGGATGGTGTTAGCCTAAATGGAATAATAAGGAAATATATCTCCCAACGAAATCCCAAATCAATATATATTATAGACACCCGGGGTATAACTTTGTAGAGTTATCTTGATGAATGTAATCAAAGTGACATTCTGTCCAGAGTTATCTTGACGAATGTAATCCAAGAGACATTCTCTCTTAACATATTTAACGTTTCATGCAAATTAATATAATAAAATATATTAATATATCAAGAAAATGACTAATAATTTATTTTTATTCTTTTTTATTTCATAACCACTCTTAACATTTTCTTCACATCTCTTGATTTTTTTACATATATAATCATTACTTTCCCATTTCACATTTTCAATGAATAATTAATGCCCATTTATTCATTTGGGCCCAGCCATATTATGCTCATTGCTCATGTTTTATTTGAATGATTATGGTAAAATATCAGTATTTTAATGGCTACATATTATTATTATTATTATTATTATTATTATTATTATTATTATTATTTTCAATATTCATGACAACATGACAGATTACTATTGACTTCCAATTAGCAGTCAATTTTGTGCATTACTCATGCGTGATCGTCACCTCGCTTACCCTGCGGCATGCTAATAAATTGGAGAATTTTTCTTGCTTTGCGGCATGAATTCTATCAACTATTAGTTTTTATCACTGAAACCAAAAAAAAAAAGGTTTCAAACCTATCAATTTTTTTGATGACATGAAACATACAAATATTGGCCTTCAAGGATGGTGAAAATGCTATATATTTTTGGGAAGCTTAATCTCCAAATCCTTCTAGTTTTCTTTGATTTTGAATTAAGTCCCAATGATTTATTTTATTTTAATCAAACCCTTATTATTTGATCTATTAAATATGTTAGGGACAAGTTAGCATATCAATCGTTAAACTTTAGATCAAATATACTGTATACTCTGAATTTATTTTTTATGCAAATTATTCCTTTAACTCTTGAAAACAGTGCAGTCTAGTTTTTATTATTAACAAAAATTAACTTTTACTATTAGTTAGATCAGAAAATTGCAAAAACAGAGCTTAAAATTACAGAAAATGACCAAATTTTTGGGTTCTTGTCACTAATTTTTAGTCATTTTCTATAGCTTTTGAGGTTTTTATATGTTAATTTCTAATCAATTAATAACTAAAGTTAACTTTTATAAGAGCCAAATTGCATTGTTTTAAAAGTTAGAAAAATAATTTGCACAATAAATAAGGTCTATGGTGCTACTGAGTTTAAAATTCATGGTATAATTTACTCATTTATCTAATATGTTAGTCTCTCAATGTTAAAATTATCAATGAATGATTAGCTTTTCCAAATTATAAATACTTTTAAAATTTATAGAAAAATGAATTTAATATTTTTATCCAAAAAGGGAAAAGAAAATTTGATTAAATACAATGTTTACATTTTTATTAATTTTTATGAAAATTATACACACACACATATAATTTATTTAGAAAACATAACCTAATTATATAAATTTTGAATTATAAAATTATTTAATTAATTCTAAAGTTATATAATATTTTAATAAAAATATAAAAATTCTTAATTTTATTTTTTAAAAGAACAAATTCAAGCATTTTAACCTTTAAGAATTAATATATTTGATTCATTAAACTATAAGGACTTAGTTAAAATAACATAAAGTACATGGACTTGATTCAAAATTGAGAAAAACTAACAAATGCCTGCGTGCATGTTGGCTGCAGCAAAAATTTTTGTTAGCCATGACGGATGGCCTTTGTGTCATAGGCCATGGAAGATGAATTTCCAATCATGGTGAACGTGCATAGCCTATCGAAATGACTATTTTTCCTCGTGTGATCATTTCTCAATATTCTTATTTTTCATATTTTTACATATTTTTACACTCTAGTTCTTAAAGAGATTTTATTGTAATACTTAATTATTATTTTCAAATGACTTTTAGGATCGCTACTTCAAGTTATCTTTTATAAAATAATTATTCTAGTTTAACCATGGTTGATCCTAAGTAACTAATGGTTGTTTAATTGATTAAGGTTAATGATGGAGGTCATTACACTTGTTAGCCAAAATCATCACTATATTTATTACAAAAAATGAAGGAAATGAAGGGAAAAGTACATGAGAAGGCACAAGAGGCAAATGAGAGAGTGCAAAGAGGGCAAAGCAAGCCAAGGAGACCACGGGGGAGATGGGAGAGAAGACAGTGGAGGAGAACATGAAGAGGCAGGTTTAACATTCTAATTTTTATTAACTAAAAACTTAACCAAATACTATAGTAATAAAAATATTTAAACCAATAAAAATAATTTTCATGGTATAAAGGTTTAAAATTAATTCTCAAATTTATTTTAAAGAGATGATTATGGAGTAAAATAGTTAATCTATATTTTAAGGAACTACCATGGTAATGAAAATTCATTTAACAATCAGATATTTAAAAATCTAGCCTTGGTAAAAATGATAAAACTATTTAAAAAGGCTGCCAAGGTTATAAAAGTTAACCCTTACTATTTAAAATAAAAAATTACAGCCTACCATGATAGAAAAGAGTCTACCATGATATATAAAAAATAACCTAAAAATAAATATTTTGTTTCCACAAGAGTTTAGGTTTACTAAAGCCTGTAAACTTGCGCATCACATTCCACCATAAATACTTAAATATTTATTTAAATAAATGTCTTGACACATAGAATTTTATATTAGAATATTTTCTTTAAATAGATCCATTATGTAATTTCTATGGCCTTAGGCCTTAACTAGTAGTATCCTTGCTAGTCATCAATAAATAATAAACAATTTTCAAACTCTACCCAAATTATCAATGAGTCCTATAATGGCACATGATTATTCTACAAATTGAAAAAGGACTTAAAGGTTACTCAAGCTAAGCCCCAAGCTTCTAGATACTTTTCCTTTACTCCACTAAGCTCACCTAAAATGTTAAAGAGAGAGGTGAGTACTAATATTTTAGTAACCTAAAGTTCCATCATATATGTACAAACTTACAACCACATACATTAACAATATATACATACATACATATACTTTCATCATCATTATTAAATTATGACCACAAAACTTTACAGTTCATCGTTCATAATAATTATATGCAATATATGATCATATGAAAAAATTCCCTCATTACTCCGTCTTATCTTGTACTACTGATTGGAACCATAGGCTCATTTACGATTTAGCCCACTTGCTAGACTGACCAAAGCATCTCCAAAGTTCAAGATATATCTAGCTAAAGGTATAAAGTTCAAGCCTCAAATTATGGCTCCCCCCTTAAAAAACCCAACTAGAAGGTATCACCGTCCTATGTTCCCCCTTTATAAACCCAACTAGGTAAATGTTGAGGAATAGGGTT